TGAATCTCATCAGAGTACATGTTGGTCGGGCAATTATGGATGTCGCAAGCGATTTCGCAAGCAGGATCACAACTCAACATTTCTATTCCTAGCTCCAACTACTCCTTACAGCAAAGTGTACTTGGACCCCTGCCATATACATAAGCAGCAATCTCTCCAGATTTTGTATATAGATGTTCGGGCTTGGGTGCCAACGGCTATTGGCAAAACTGGCCCGTTATGATTAGTTCACTCCGTGCCATATTATTCTAAGTTATCCAAGCTTGGAACGAGCTAGTGGCACCTGGAAGTTCTGATCACCAGGGCTCCAAAAGATGGGTTTTGGGACTATTTCACATCATTCACAAACGTTCATTGGCAGCCTTGACTTTCAAGAGGCCTATGCTCATCCTCGCATTGCATGCCACAGTGATGCTTTCCCATACTATTAGTATGTTCTGAAGTTTTGACAAAAGCTGATTAGGCGGATAGCAACAATAAAGGTATTTTGTTCGATGCCGATATGAGTTCCCAGGCCTAAACAGCCGACGGCAATGGCACACATAAATACCTGGATACGCCAACTAACACATTGAATCAAAACTCAAAATTCAGAAGGAGGGGTTCTTTGCGTTCCATTTGTTCAGGCCCATTGAACTACTGCCTGTTCCTCACGAACCTACAATATGGCACGAATGATAGAGTTGAAGAGGATGGGATCATCAACCGGATCACGTCCTAGGCAACTCAAATTCCTTTCTTCTTGTGCATTGATTGTGGCAAAGATAAGGCGGGAATGGTTCAGTGGTTCCACGGAATCAAAGGAGGCGAAAAGTTAAGGGAAAGAGAATAGCCAAATCTCCTTTTCCCTAAACCGCATTTTTCGCCATTGTTGGTGTTGAATCTGTTTGGCAAACTGGAGATCGAACGTACCATACAGAGAGGCTTTTCGGCCTTCCGCCGAATAATCTGAAGCTTTCAATCGCGAGTTCAACCCCAACAGATCTCATGGAAATCCCCTCTATTCCTGAGGATCTCAACGGCTAACCTAGGAACCTTCCATTATATAATGTCATAGGCTATCATAAGATCTGTTCTGGTGAAGAGGTTGAGCTCACCGCTGAACACCAGGCACGTTGCCAATGACTCAATTGGGATTTGCTCGAAATGCAGTGAATGTTGCAACGTCTTACCTCGCTGACAATAGCCGGTTTCCGCCGGGGTGGCGACTGCGAAGATGATGAATCCGAAAGAGACCCCGTGAGCCCTCACTGTTGAGATATCATACGAAGACCAGAGTGTGGATGAGGGCTTGAAGACCGCGACAGAGCATTGAACCAGCAGGATTCAAGGAAACTCTGCCCTGCTGATAATAATAACTATACAGCAGACGCTGATTAAGAATCGGATTTGGATGCATCATCACTGGCAATGTCCAACACAGCATTGGCCCTTTTGTGACTATGATATTGATATTCACCATATGGTAACCTGCCTACACTACAAATATGATCAGAAGCTCGTTCCACCCTGAAACTTTACAACGATATTCTAGTCCAGTGTACAAGATTCGAATGAAGC